AAAAAATCTTCACAAGGTAATGTTTCTTAATAGATTTCGAGACTGTCCTGGAAGTCTTAGAATGCAGATCAGGCTAGCCTTGAACTCACAAGAGATCCACTTGTCTCTGATTCCCAAGTGCTGAGTTGAAGGCTTGTGCCATCAATAATTATGTGTATTTCCTTTGATAAAAATGTACTGTGGCATTTATTTAAAGTAATTGGTTAAAATTTTGTCTTATGATTACTGACTAAATTGTTTTAAGATTTGTTTCCCAAGTGGTAGTCCCACATTATTATATTTACAATCTAATATCTTATTTTCTTATGAGTTGAATGTATTGTAATTTCTTCATCCTCTTACATTTTGAAATAAAAGCAGTTGATTTCCTTTATACCATACTTGTCATTTGGAATCCCAAGTTTCTACACAGTAAACTGTGTTTTCATTATTAGACAAGAACCAGCTTAGTTGTCCTAGGTGTCTGCTCTCTGCCCTCACCTCTACTGTTCTATTACCATGAAACTCTGAGGGCATGTACTATATTGAGACCAACATACTACTTTCTGCCTAGTGAGCTATAGACCCTGATATAAGGAAGCAACTACTTTTTGTCATTGCCACGTAAAATGTATATATATTTTTTGCAAGCAGAAACTCTTGAGTTTCTGATATTTTGATGAACATTAGAAGCAAAATACTAATGATGTGTCTTGAGATCTGATTAAAGATGAGTTAAGTTGTCAGGTTCCCTACTCCATCCTTAGGTTTAAGCAAGCCTATGTTAGAAGAACAAGGGGGCCATCTGTTTAGATACAGGTCTTTCTATTAGCCCTTTGCTCTCATTGGATGAGTTCTGATCTTTTGAGACAGCTCTTTGCTAAGACCTGGAATGTATTATAAGTGAGCCTACTATTCAGAAGTTTTGGAATTTTCCTTAGTCACATCACCTTACTTGGAAGCTCATTAGATATGGTTCTCTCCATTGACTGTTTAATCTTGGTGGTTTCCTTGGTTTTGTGCAGGAGAGATGATGCAGGGTAGTCCTGTGAGCTTAAATCAGATAAGAGTGACAGTCATTACTGAGTTCAAGGTGTTCAAACTATGAACTCGTAATTATGAGGCCATGGGAGGCAACTTGTCACTGTTGGTTGATGTGTATAGAAGGACAGTATCTTACTTGGGCTTACTCTTGCTGTGACAAAACACCAGGAACAAAAGTGGCCTGTCTAGGAAAGGATTGATTTGACTTACTCTTCCACATTGTAGTCTTCACTGAAGGAAGACAGGACAGCAACTCAAGCACTGCAGGAACCTGGAAGCAATGGCCAATACAGAGGCCAAGGATGGGTCCTGCTCCCTGGCTTGCTTTAAAGTGGGACCCAAGACCACAATTCTAAGGATGGAACCACCCACCATCTTCCAGTGATTAAGGAAATGCCTAGTAATTAAGAAATGCCTACAGTCTGATCTCATGAAGAAAGTTTCTCAATTGTCTTTCCCTCCATTCTGTCTGTGTCAGGTTTGCTTAACCTACCAGGACAGAAAACAAACCACACAGTTCCCCTTCTTTGTCTCTCTGTGTTGGGAATTGATATATGCACACTGTACTTAGTAAAGTCTGCCATCACCTCTCAAGAGTGAAATAGTCTGACTACTTGTAATGCTCAGTTCCTCAAGGAATGAAGAGTGACCATTTCTTTATTCTAAATGAGGGTGGCTCCTGAGGCCTTTTTTTTAGAGTTTCAGTACACCTGTGTTTGGGAAGATGTCCTTCATCCGAGCTGTGTGTTCTCCTTCACCTCTTGAATCAGATCCTTCCTTCAGTGTCGACTGACACCCCAAGTTCTGAAGGTCATGAAAATTGTCAAACTGAAGATGTTTTTGGATTACTGCCGGCCAAGATGACCAATGTAACTGTTGAGCAGAATTTCTTTCTCTGTTTTTCCCTCTTGCTTTCCAGCTGCTCCGCGGCATGTTTTGTTTTCTGTTTGACATGTTAATGTGGTTTTATTGTGGGTCCTATTTTTAATTTGAAGGTGAAATGAATTCAGATTTCACCTATTGTTAGTTGTCTTGTTTCAGCATTTCATATGTAGATTTAAATATGTGGTATAATTGTATCAACACCTACTTGTTGAATAAGAACCCAAAGGAAGCCAGGGGCTGAGACCCACAGTATAACTCCAGCACTGCAGAGGCAGTGGCAGGTAAATTTCTGTAAGTTTGAAGTCAGCCTAGCCAACAAAGCCTGGGCCAGGACAACCTCCAATGCAATATTGAGAGAACCTTTTTCAAAAAAATTGAAAATAAAGAAAAAAGAAAGCATAGGAAATACACTATCTCTCATATTTTTGATTAGTGCCTACCAATAATGGGTGACAGACAGGTTTGATTTTACTTTTGTATGCAGAGGAAATGCCTAAGTCAATATATGCACAAGTAAACTAAACTTAAGATTACCGTATTGAAGATATTCTAAAAATTTGTATCCTATGTCAAGCATATTCTGATGCTGCTCTACAATGGCAAGATAGATTTTATTCTGAGTCTGGTAGACTCCCTCGACCAAGACAACATGGAAATTACAATATGCCTCCCTTGCTTGACTTGGGTAAGAAGCACTGTGTGTGTGTGTGTGTGTGTGTGTGTGTGTGTGTGTGTGTGTGTGTTTGTATCTGTGATCATGCTTGCTTCTGATATTACATAGTTATGATAGCATAGAGTCTGAGAATTGAACAATTGTCTAATACAGTTAGTATCCCAGATTGCTCATGAGGCCACATCTCCTTCCTAATTTTCCAGAGTTTGTATTTCTCATTGTCTTGGAGAAATATTTTGTTTAGTTTTATGTCACCTATATTGTGTTTCTGTGTATGTATCACATACATGCCTGTCGCCTGAGAACCCAGAACAGGGCATCAGACTTCTGGGACGTGGAGTAGCAGATGGTTGTGAGCTGCTGTGTGGTTGCTGGGAATTAAGCACAGGTCCTGTGTAAGAGCAACCAGAGCTCTTAAGCATGGAACCATCTCTCCAGCATTTTCATGTTTCACACTTCTGGCATGTGCTCTAATATATGAGTTAAAGGTTAGTTTTGGTTTTATAGTAAGAGCTGAGTGCATCTCACTCTAATACAAACTGTACTCTGTTCCACAGATAACTTCTCATTGTGCATAATCCATTTACATACATGTGGTTTAGCAGAAAAGATTATAAGGCTGGCAAATGTCAATGGATGTGTAAAAACTACCCGTAAAATAATTTGGGTTCTTGTTTTTAATTAGATATCTGATTTAATAATTTCATATGTATTAGATTGAATCTGTGAGGAACTCTTAAACTATCACTCATTACCCACTGAATCTGGGAAATATGTGCATCTAGTGTTGGTATTAATGTAAATAATATGAAGAAAGAAAAAAATCCTGAAAATAAATCTTCATTATATATTTGTTGAGTTATCTATGAGGGTGCTTTCATACAAGTATATAGTATGTACTGAGGAAAAGGAGGGCACACAGAAAAGACAGGAAGTGGATGGTGCTTTCCCCAGGTGTTCACTGAGGCTGTTGCAGCAAGAGTGCCTAAGAGCCAGCTGGAATGGTCACCAGAGCAGTGCAAACAAATGTCTGTTCTACTGAAATTTCCACGGCTTCAGGCTGCTTTGGGGACACTCATATGGAATATTAGTGTATTTGTGTCAAGTTGTTCCCTGTCCCAGGAAGGGGGGTGGAACGTGTCAGTGTCATTTGGATCTGGAAACGGTCTGGGAATAAATAGAGAACTCATGATTTTTTCCTGGTTTAATTTTCCTGTGTAGATGAGCCAGAATGGTCAGCAGTGCCATCTACTAAGAATGATAACAAAAGTAACCATAATGTAAGTATTGAAAAGTGAATTATACCTATGCACTTGCAACTAGTTTCTTGGTGTTCTTAGAAAAAGACGAGAGCTCTTCTACTAGGTGATATCAAGATATTCATAAAACATACTTCTACTTAGCATTTACACTTTCATTGTTGGCTTTTACCCATGTGTTAACTAGTAGAGATCACAGCTGGTTTTCATGGTGCATGTAATCCTAGCATTTTTGCAGGCTGAGGCAGGAGGCTTATAACTTCAAAGACAGTGTGGGCTATATAAGCAGACTTTACCTCCAAACACCAAATTGTCTGGAGAAATTGCTTACAGGATAAGACCACTGGCTGATCTCCTGGAGTTCCTTGGTTTGATTCCCAGCACCCTAGTGGTGACTCCCAACCCTTCTTATCTCCATGTTTAAGGGATCTGAATCCCTATTCTAGCTTTAGAAATCAGTGAATGTATGCGGTAATCAGACATGCATGCAGGCAAAACACCCATTCGTGTGAAATAACAAATATGACAAAAACAAACAAGAGAGACAAACCTGATGTATCCCACTTAAATAAGAACAACTTTTAGTAGAACTTTAAAGCTTCTGTGCTAGCTGAACACTATTTCAGATTTTATCCCTTGAAATGTTTTTAAAGTATTAAAATGTATTTTTAAAATATAGCATTGATTTTGTTCATTTTGAAGATAATGAATATCTTATCCAGTTTCCTGTTCTTTCTCTGTGTATGTTTGATCAAAGTGGCTATCTGTTTTTTATTTGGTTTTTCACTTTGAGACAGGTTACGAAGTAGCTAAGGAGCCAATCCTAGAACTAAGTTTATTGATCAGGCTTGCCAGTAACTGACAGAGATTCACCCCCCATCTCTGCCTCCTGAGCTGTGGGATTAAAGGCATGTGGCTCCACTACCTGGGGTAGTCCTATTTTACTAAAAATGACTGTTTTGTTGTGCTTGAACTTACTAGTATTTCAGGTAGAGCCAGGTAGACTAAACTACACCATGCCTAAAGTTATCTGCTGAGTAAGCATAAATACTTATTTTAGCGCATATGCGTCTCCTTCACAATTGTGGAAACCTGAGTCTGTACGGAGGCTTTGTGGAATGTCATGGACTGCCTTCTTCTATGCCTGAACACCACAGCAAAGGAGCTGTCCATCAAGCCTCTTTAATGAATGCTGATTGTCACTCTGTTACAGAACAATACTGTGCCCAACATTCCTCCTGCTGAATGCAAGACACCTGGCCCTGGCTTCGTCCCTCCACCAGTTCCCCTGGATAGAGACCCCAGAGGTCGTCCCTTTGCATGGGATCCAAGAAGGCCACCCCCATTCCCACTGCCTCCTCCAGGAAACATCTATGGAGGTTCTACAGACTATTTTCCACCAATGGACTTTGCTGGACCACCCTTTCCACCATACCCAGGTATGTTGTATATGTAACTTTCATCTGTGCTCCTTTTGTTACTGTGAAAAACTCTGGCAAGAACCAACTGGAGGAGGAAAGTGTTTATATTGCACATAGTTTACAGTCCAGCAACAAAAGAAGCCAAGGCTTTACCTTGATTCACCTCACGGAATTTTGAATTTTAACTGTATTCTGATAAGTCAGAAAATCAGGAAATTTACAAGGAGATTTTTTTCTCTATTTTTTCCTTTCTTTTTTCCTCCCTCCCTCCCTCCCTCCCTCCCTCCCTCCCTCCCTCCCTCCCTTCTTTCCTTTTTTCCTGTCTGCTGCCTGACTGTCTTCCTTCATTGGTTTCTTTCTTTGTTTCTTTCTTCCTTTCTATCTTTTTAAAAAATTTTTCCCTAGGCAGCATTTTCTATTGTTTTGGAGCCTGTCCTGGAAGTCTTTGACAGCAGACCAGGCTAGCTTTGAATTCACAGAAATCCACTTGTCTCTGCTTCCCAAGTACTGAATTGAAGTCATGTGCCAGCAATGCCCAGCCAGAAGCCTTTTTAAGATAAAAATTATGTGTATTTCCTTTGATAAAAATGTACTTTGACAATTATTTAAATAGTTGGTTATAATTTTGTCTTATGATTACTGACTAAATTTTTTAAAGTCTCCCAATTAGTAGTTCCCACATGATCATATTTAGAATCTAAGATCATGTTCCTAATTTGTTGAACTTATTGAAATTCCTTCATACCTTACATTTTCAAATAAAAGTAATTGATTGTCTTTACAACATACTTTGCCCTTTGAAATCCCAAGTTTCTACACAGTAAATCATATATTCAGTATTAGACAAGACCCGGCTTAGTTGTCCTAGGTGTCTGCTCTCTGCCCCCACATCTAAAGTTCTATTACCATGAAAATCTGAGAGCATGCACTATATTGAGACCAACAGACTGCTTTGTACTTACCGAGCTATAGATTCTGGATCCAATGAACCGACTACTTTTTGTCAGTGCTAGGAAAAATGTATATGTTTTGTGAAAGCACAAACTCTGATTTTTCTGATATTTTGATGAACATTAGAAGTAAAATACTAATGAGGTGCCTTGAGATCTGATTAAGGATGAGTTAAATTTTCAGGTTCCCTTCTTCATCTGTAGGTTTAAGCAAGCCCTTGTTGGAAGAACAAGGGGGCCATCTGTTTAGATACAGGTCTTTCTAGTAGTCCTTTGCTCTCATGGGATGAGTTCTGATCCTTTGAGACAGCTCTTTGGTAAGACCTAGAGTGTAGTATAAGTGAACTTTCTGTTCAGAAGTTTTTGACCTTTCCTTAGTCACATCGTCTTACTTAGGAAGCTAATTAGATATGATTCTCTCCATTGAGTGTTTCATCTTGGTGGTTTCCTTGGTTCTGTGCAGGAGAGATGATTCAGGGGAGTCCCGTGAGCTTAAATCAGATAAGTGTGTCAGCCATTACTGAGTTCATGGGGTTCACACAATGAACTCATAATTATGAGGCCATGGGAGTCAACTTGTCACTGTTTTTTGATGTGTGTAGAAGGACAGTATCTTAATACAGCTTATCCTTGCAGTGACAAAACACCAGGAACAAAAGTGTCCTGTCTAGGATAGGATTTATTTGACTTACTCTGTCACAGTGGAGTCTTCACTGAAGGAAGTCAGGACAGCAACTCAAGCAGTCCAGAAACCTGGAGTCAGGGGCTAATGCAGAGGCCATGGAGGATGCTGCTCACTGGCTTGCTTTCTTCTGAACTCAAGACCACATGCCCAAGGTTGGCATCACCCACTATGGCCTTCCTGGGTCCCCTCAATCCCATCAGTCAGTGGTTACCGATATGCCTAGTAATTAAGAAATGCCTACAGTCTGATCTTATAAAGGAATTTTCTTAATTGATTTTCCCTCCTCTCTAGCCATATCACGTTTGCTTCATATAACAGTACCCAAGAGAAACCACACAATTCCCCTTCCTTGTCTCTCTCTGTTGGGAATTGATATACACACACTGTACTTAGTAAAGTCTGCCATCACCTCTCAAGAGTGAAATAGTCTGACTACTTCTAATGCTCAGTTCCTCAAGGAGTGAAGAGAGAGTAACCATTTATGTATTCTAAATGAGTGTGGCTCCTGAGGCCTTTGTTAGAGTTTCAGTACACCTGTGTTTGGGAAGATATCCTTCATCTAAGCTGTGAGTCCTCCCTCACCTCTTGAATCAGATCCTTGCTTCAGTGTCGAATAACACCCCATGTTCTGAAGGTCGTGAAAATTGTCAACCTGAAGATATTTCTGGATTACGGCCTGCCAAGATGACAAATGTAAATGTTGAGCAGAATTTCTTTCTCTGTTTTTCCTTCTTGCTTTGCAGCTGTTCCTCAGCATTTTTTGGTATTTGTTTGACATGTTGATTGTTTATTTTTTGGTGTACTATGTTTAATTTGAAGTTGAAATGAATTTAATTGAATTCTGCTTTCACATATTGTAAGTTCAGCATTTCATGTGTAGATTTACATATGTGCTGTAATTGTGTCAACTTATGCTTGTTGAATAAGAACCCAAAAAAACCTAGGGGATGGAGACCCATACCTGTTATCCCAGGACTCCAGAGGCAGAGGCATGTGCATTTCTGTAAGTTCAAAGCCAGTCTGGCGAGCAGAGCCTGTGACAGGACATCTTCCATTGTGATATTTAGCAAACCTATATCAATTAATGTTAAAAAATGGAAAAGAAAAAGAAAGTAAGGGAAATACACTATATCTCAAATTTTTGATTAGTGCCTACCAATAACCAGTAACAGGTTTTCATTTTAATTATGGATGCAGAGGATATGTCTAAGTCAATGTAAGCACAAGTATAGTAGACTTTTGATTATCCTAGTAAAGATATTCTAACAATTTGTTTTTTAGGCCAACCATATTGTGATTCTTTTCTACAAAGTCAAGAGAGATTTTATTCTGAATCTGGTAGAAACCCTGGACCAAGACACCACAGAAATTATTATATGCCTTCCTCATCTGATATGTGTAAGGAATACTGTGTGTGTGTGTGTGTGTGTGTGTGTGTGTGTATGTGTGTGTGTGTATGTATGTGTGTATGTGTCTGTAATCATGCTTGCATCTGAGATTACATAGTTATGGTAATATAGAGGACTGGGAATTGAACAAAAGGCTAACATAATTAGTATCCCAGATTGCTCATGAGGTTATATCTCCTTCCTTATTTTCCTCGAGTTTGTATTTCTCATTGTCTTTTTGAGAAAGATTTTGTTTATTTTTATGTCACCTGTATGGTATTTCTGTGTACGTATCACATACATGCCTGATGCCTGAAAAGGCAAGAAGGGCATCAGAGCTCCTGGAAGTGGAGTTACAATCTTTTTGAGCTGCTGTTTGTTTGATGGGAATTAAGCATAGATCCTTTGTAAGAGCAGCCAGTGCTCTGAGCACTGAACCATCTCTCCAAGTTGTCTCATATTTCGGGCAGGTGCTCTAATATATGAGTTAAGGTTTAGTTTTGGTTCCATAGTAAGTGCTAAGTGTATCTCACTATAATACCATCTTTATTCTGTTCCGCAGCTAACTTCTCATTGTTTATAATCCATTTACATATGTATTGTTTACCAGTCAAGGGAAATAGGCTGGCAAACGTCAATGGATATTTAAATACTACCAGTAAAATAATTTGTTTTTTTTCTCAATTAGTTATCTGTTTTAATAATTTCATATGTAGTAGATTGTATCTGTCAGGAGCTCTTCAACTTTCATTCACTACCCACTGAAACTGGGAAATGTGTGCATCTAGTATAGGTATTAATGTAAATAACATTAAGATAATGAATTTCTGATAATTAAATTTTCATTGTATATTTGTTGAGTTATCTATGAAGATTCTTTATACAAGTGTATAGTATGTACTGAGGGAAAGAAGGGTAAACAGAAAAGTCATGGAGTAGATGATGCATCCCCAGGTGTTCACTGAGGCTGCTGCAGCAGGATTGCCTAGGAGCCAGCTGAAATGGTCACCAGCACAAAGCAAAAAAATGTCTGTTCTATTGAAATTTCCACTGGCCTCAGGCTGCTTTCAGGACTCTCATGTGGAATACTAGTGTATTTGTGTCAAGTTGTTCTCTGTCGTAGCAAGGGGTGTGGAATGTGTCAGTAGTGTCATTTGTATCTGGAAATGGTCTGGGAATAAGTTGAGAACTCATGAATTTTTCCTGGTTTAATTTTCCTGTGTAGATAAGCCAGAATCTTCAGCAGTGCCATCCACTGTGAATGATATGAAAAATGACCATAGTGTAAGTATTGGAAATTGAATTCTACGCATGTATCTGCAGATAGTTTTTAGGTTTTCTTAGATAAAGGCCAGAGCTCTTCTACTATGTGATATCAATATATTAAAATATGCTTCTACTTCGCATTAACACTTTCATTGTTGAATTTTAACCATGTGTAAAATAGTCCAGATCACAAGCAGGTTTTGATGATGCGTGTAATCCTAGTATTTTTGCAGGTTGAGGCAGGAGGAGGGTACCTTCAAAGCCAGTGGTGTGTTATATAAGCTGATTTTGTCTCCAAAATCCAAGTAGGCTGATAAAATGGCTTATGGGATAAGAACACTGGCTGCTCTCCTGGAGTGACCTGTGTTTGGTTTCTAGCACCCCAGTGGTGGCTCCCAACCCTTCTTATCTCCATGATCAAGGGCTTTGTAGCTCTATTCTAGCCTGGAAGAACAGTGAATGTATATGTTATGCAGACATGCATGCAGGCAAAACACCAATACATGTGAAATGACAAATATGACAATAACAAACAAGAGAGAGAAACCTGATGTCTTCCACTTAGATAAGAAAAACATTTAGAACTTTAAAGCATTTTCCCTAGTTGTACATTATTTCCGGTTTTCTTCTTTGAAATCTTATTTGAATCTTAAAATGTATTTTACCTTTGAAAAATATGATTGCTTGTGTTCATTTTGAATATATCAATATTTTACCTTCTCCTGTTCTCTCTGTGCTTCCTTTGATTTACTATCTTTGTTGGGGTATACCTATTTTTTTTAAAAAGTGTGTGTTTTCATGTGGTTGAACTGCCCTTCTGTTTTAGGTAGAGCCAGGTAGACTATTACTATCATGCCTAAAGCTTTCTGCTGAGTTAGTAATAATAGTTAGGGTAGCACTTTAGCAGCTCCTACACAGGAGTGGAAAACTGATTCTGTATCGAGACTTTGTGGAATGTCATGGTCTACTTTCTCCTATGCCTGACACCCCAGCAAAGGAGCTGTCCATCAAGCCTCTTTACTGACTGCTGATTGTCACTCTGTTACAGAACTCCACTGTGCCCAACACTCCTGCTGAATGCAAGACACCTGGCCCTGGCTTCATTCCCCCTTTTGTTCCCCAGGATAGAGGCCCCAGAGATCATCCCTTTGCATGGGATCCAAGAAGACCACCCCGATACCCACCACCTCCTCCAGCAAACAACTATGGAGGTCCTCAACATTATTTTCCACCAATGGACTTTGATGGCCCACCCTTCCTACCATACCCAGGTAAGGTGTTTTAAAAGTCCATATATGTTTCAGCTTTTATCTGTGCTCCTTTTGTTACTGTGAAAAACTCTGGCAAGAACCAATTGGAGTAGGAAAGGGTTTATATGGCTCACAGGTTACCGTCCAGCATCAGAGGAAGCCAAGGCTTCACCTTAATCCACCTCAGGTAATTTTAAATTTTAACTGTACTCTGATAGGTCAGAAAATCAGGCAATTTACAAGAGCTTTTCATTCTTTCTGTCTAACTGTTTTCTTCCTCCTTCCTTCTTCCTTCCTTCCTTCCTTCCTTCCTTCCTTCCTTCCTTCCTTCCTTCCTCTCTCTCTCTCTCTCTCTCTCTCTCTCTCTCTCTCTCTCTCTCTCTCTCTCTCTCTGTCTCTCTCTCTCTCTCTTGTTGTTAATCTTTCCAAGGCAGGGTTTCTGTATTTCTTTGGAGCCTTTGGAGCCTTTCCTGGAAGTCTTAGTCTGCAGACCAGGCTAAACATGAACTCATAAAGTTCCAAATGTCTCTGTTTCCTAAGTGCTGGGATCAAAGGTGTTTGCCATCAACCCCCCCTGCCAGCAAGTAGTTTTAACATTAAAAATGTGTGTTTCATTTGATAGAATATATTGTGTCCACTATTTAAGGTAATTGCTTATATTTTTGTCTTAAGAAAGTTGACTTAAGTTTTTTAGCTTATTTCTCATAAATAGTAGTTCCCACCTAATCATATTTAAAATCCAAGATCATGTTTAGTTATTTGTTAAATTTATTGAAATTACTTCACACTGTTATATCTTAAAGTAAAAGTAATTATTGCCTTTACAGCATACTTTATTCTTTGGAATCAGAAACTTCTACACTTTAAATCAGGTTTTCAAGTTCTAGATAAGAACCACCTTAGCTGTCCTAAGTGTCTGCTCGTTGCTCTCACCTCTACTCTTAAACTTCTAAGGGAGTAAAATGAGTCTTGTGTGGGAAGTTTTAAGGTTGTCCTTGGCCTTCCTGGAAATGTTTTTAGTAGGATATGACGTCAGTATCACTGATCTGAATGTTAGTTTGAATGTTTTACCCCATTGAAAAGCTGTTTTACAGCGAGTCTTAAGTGTATCTAGACCTTGGGTTCCTGCCAAGAGAGCACAAACAGATCTGAAACTGATGGTTGTGTTCTTATTAATCCTATGAAATCAAGAAGTACAGTTTTCAGTCTCAAGATTTATTTGTGAGATCAAGTATTGTGATGTGAGGGTTTAGATATCAGAATAGGGGCTGGAGCTAGTGTTTTAACAAGTGTGCACTACATGGTTTCAACTTCTACTGTTTTTTACGCATCTCTTCCAACATGGAGAAATATGTGTGAATCCAGAGGTTTTCCACCCTTCCTTCCTCTAAGAGCTGGGTTCTTCCCCCACCCCCACATCCAGAAAGGAGAAATGAGAGACCCCAGACTTGATTCAGCCTTCCAAACAACCTGCAACTGAATCTCCATACTACACTGTAACCTCAGGAAATAAAGGAGACCTGATAGATTCTTCAGCATTCATTTTTTTAGATGAAGTTTATGTAACTTGTTCTTATGTTAGTATGCTGTTGTGTAATGGAATAGCATTTTGTAAATAAAGATAATTTAACTATGAATCTTATGAGTAAATTATTTCTATTTTATTTTATTCTGGGAAGTATATTTTACTTTGATTACCTCATCCATAATTATGATAGTTTTATGCATGTAATCTTTTTTAATTTAAATTTAAATTAGAAACAAGGTTGCTTCAAATGTCAATTCCAGATCCCTCTCTCTTTTTCTCACCTCCTCCAACGCCCTCTGACCAACCCCTCCAATATCCCCTCATTTCCCCAAGGATGGTGAGGGCCACCGTGGGGGTGTCCATAGTCTGTCATTTCATCCAGGGCAGGGCCTAGTCTATCCCTTGAGAGTCCAGGGTGAGAGTACATCTCTCAGTGTTGGATGGGTGTCCAAGTCCATTTGTATACCCGTGATAAATTCTGATCTACTACCCAAGGCTCAATAGATTACCTAGGCCTCCTCACTGACACCCACATTCAGGAGGTCTTGATCACTCCCATGCTGGATTCCCAGCCATCAGTCTGGGATTCAAGAGCTAACCCCTGTCAGGTCAGCTGTTTCTGGGGGTTAAAGCAGCCCAGTCTAAACCCGTTTGCTCATCAGTCCTCCCTCTCTGTCACTGGATTCCTTGAGTTCAGTTCAGTATTTAGCTTTGGGAGTCTCCCTCTGCTTCCATCAGCCATTGAATGAAGGTTCTGTTTCCTAGGCTCTCTGGCCATGGGATTGTAGGCTGGCACTCCCCAGATCTATGTCTAAAATCCATATATGAGGGAGCACATGCCATGTTTCTCTTTTTATGACTGCGTTACCTCACTCAGGATGGTTTCTTCCAGTGCCATCCATTTGCCTGCAAATTTCAGGATTCCATTTTTTTCAGGCTGAATAGTACTCCATTGTGCAAATGTACCACATTTTCTCTATTCACTCTTTAGTTGTGGGTCATTTAGGTTGCTTCCAAGTTCTGGCTATTACAAATAATGCTGTTGTGAACATAGTGGAACAGACATCCTTGTTGTATGATGGGCATCTTTTGGATATATGCCTACCCAAGAGGAGATACCAAATTGGGTTGGGGAAGCAATCTTTAGAAGTTTCAAAAGACATCAAAACTTTAGATGTTTTAATTGTGGTAAAATGGGACCTATGAGTAGGAACTGTAGACAATGCATTCCTAGGAATAATGCTTCTACCAGGAATGCATCAAACAGAAGGCCTTAGCCTCCTGGTTTCTGCAGGAGGTATGGAAAGCGAGAACATTGGACTAATGAATTCTGGTCCACAAGAGATAGACAAGGTAGAACTTTAAAGCCGGGAAACGGGGATCGGGGCCTCATGTGAGCCCCCAGACAGAAAGATTATCTGGTCATTCCCAGTGACAGTGGAGGACAGCCTCTCCCAGGACAATTAGAAGATCCACTGCCCATTGTAAATAATACGGAACTGGATAATACATTAGCTCCAGAGGATGAATCAATTATATCAGGAGGATATACAAAACATATATTTTGGCAAAATTCTATACAATATCATAGACCCAAGTTATCAGTTAAGGTAAATAATATGGTGATTAATGGCATTTTAGACACCGGAAGTGACGTCACTATCATTAATCAGACGTCCTGGCCCTCCAATTGGGCTTTAAAAGAGGTTAACGTTCAGTTCTTAGGGATTGGAACCCTATCTGAAGTTAAACAGAGCGTTAGATGGATTGACTTTATTGGGCCAGAAGGACAGAGAGGAAGGTTAAAGCCATATGTTGCAGATATTGCTATAAACCTCTGGGGTCGTGATCTACTCCAGCAATGGAATACGCAGATTAACATTCCTCCTATATCAGCTAGGAATTATAGACAAGCTCTTAGTGGTACAAAGAATATAGTAAGGCAGTACAGAAAACAGATGCCAAATGTACAGGCTGTACAGAAGCAGGATGCTAGTGCCAAACCAACAGAGCAACCAAAAGCTCTACCCTTAAAATGGCTGACAGATGAACCCGTCTGGGTGGGTCAATGGCCTATGACATCTGAGAAGTTAGAGGCTTTGGAGAAGTTAGTTCAGGAACAGCTAGATGCTGGACATATTGAGGAATCAACTAGTGCATGGAATTCACCTGTTTTTGTTGTCAAGAAGAAGTCTGGTAAGTGGAGAATGGTTACTGATCTTAGAGCCATCAACAAGGTAATTCAGCCTATGGGGTCCCTACAACCTGGGATGCCGTTACCTTCTCTAATTCCTAAGGATTGGCCAATTATAGTTGTAGACTTAAAAGATTGCTTCTTCACCATACCGTTACAAGAAAACGACAGAGAAAAGTTTGCCTTCACGGTACCTACCTATAATAATTCCCGTTTGGTACAGAGATTCCAGTGGAAGGTACTACCTCAAGGTATGTTAAACAGCCCAACTTTGTGTCAATATTTTGTGAATAAACCTCTAGAAATAATTCGTAAAAAATTTCCACATTTGTTAATATATCATTATATGGATGACATATTATTGTCTGATTCAAATAAGGATACTTTGGAAAAGATGTTTGAAGCAGTAAAGGAAACTTTGCCTCGCTGGGGATTACAAATTGCCCCAGAAAAAATACAAAGAGGAGATTCTATTAACTATTTAGGTTATAAAATAGATGCTCAGAAAATTAGACCACAGAAAGTACAGATCAGAAGAGATCATTACCGGACTCTTAATGATCTTCAAAAACTATTAGGAGAAATCTCTCAATTACAGACAATTATCGGTGTAGAAGGGCATGATTTAAAACACCTAAAAATGGCTTTAAAAGGAGATAAAGACCTAAACAGCCCACGAGTACTATCAGCTGAGGCTGAAAAAGAATTAGAATGGGTAGAAAAGAGAATATTAGAAGCACATGTAGACCATGTGGATCCAAAACTGGACTGTATTCTGGTTATTTTGCCATCTAGAGAATACCCCTCAGGAATATTAATGCAGAGGGAAGACATCATACTAGAATGGGTATTTCTGCCACATAAACAGAATAAAAAATTGAAAACGTATATAGAAAAGATCTCTGATTTGATATTAAAAGGTAAGTTAAGGCTTCATCAACTGACTGGGAAAGACCCAGCTGAAATTATTGTACCTTTAACAAATGATGAAATTTCCTCCTTATGGAAGGATAATGAGTATTGGCAAATAGCTTGCAGTGACTTTTTGGGAACTATTAGTAATAACTATCCCAAAACAGAGAGAATCAAATTCATAAAGAAAACAATTTGGATTCTTCCACGTATCGTGAGACAAACACCTATTTCTGGAGTTCTTACCTTCTACACGGATGCAAACAAATCAGGTAAGGCAGGGTATAAATCAGGAAATATAAGTAAAGTAGTTCAAAGCCCTTACAACTCCATACAAAAGGCAGAGTTATATGCCATTCTCATGGTACTTAAAGACTTTACAGAGCCTCTCAATATAGTCACGGATTCTCAGTATGCAGAAAGAGTTGTCTTGCACATTGAGACTGCAGAATTTGTTCCTGATAGTACAGAATTAACCTCATTATTTTTACAATTACAGGAAACCATCAGAAACAGGACTCATCCTATATATATAACACACATCAGATCCCATACAGGTCTGCCAGGTCCTCTGGCACAAGGCAATGATGAAATTGATCGTTTGTTAGTAGGTAATGTGTTGGAAGCTTCAGAATTTCATAAGAAACACCATGTTAACAGCAAAGGCTTAAAGAAGGATTTTTCTATCACCTGGCAACAAGCCAAAGAAATAGTAAAAAATTGCCCCAGTTGCTCATTCTACAATCAAACTCCATTGCCAGCAGGTTTTAATCCTAAAGGTATTCATAGAAATGAACTTTTGCAAATGGATGTATTTCACTTCCCAGAATTTGGCAGTTCAAAATATGTACACCATACCATAGACACGTTCTCAGGATTCCAATGGGCTACTGCCCTCAGCTCTGCTCACTTCCCAGAATTTGGCAGTTCAAAATATGTACTCCATACCATAGGCATGTTCTCAGGATTCCAATGGGCTACTGCCCTCAGCTCTGACAAGGCTGACTCTGTTATTACACACCTCTTAGAGGTGATGGCTGTTATGTGTATACCTAAAACGATAAAAACTGACAATGCTCCAGCATATGTCTCCAGCAAATTGGAACAATTTTTCAAATATTATAATATAAAACATATAACTGGTATACCTTACAATCCCACAGAACAAGCAGTGATTGAAAGATCTAACCGAACCTTAAAAGAGATGCTTCATAAACAGCCAGGGAGAACAAAGACCCCTAAACACAGGTTACATAATGCTTAATAACATTGAATTTTCTTAATGCTGATGAAAAAGGACAAACTGCAGCAGAAAGACACTGGACTACAGAGAAGACTTCTGAACTGAACCAACCGGTGTATTTTAAGGATGTTATGACCTCAGTCTGGAAACCAGGATATGTGTTACTTTGGGGAAGGGGTTATGCTTTTGTTTCCACAGGAGAAGAAAAGCTTTGGGTCTCATCTAAATTAATTAAGATTCGATCAGAACAGAAAACATCTCAGGAGGAGGAAGGATGATGGCTCATCTACAAGGTCTGCTATGTATAAGGAGACCTCATTAAAGGAAAGAGAAGTATTCTGTTTGTGTCTTTACAGGACAATTAGTTCTGAACTGTGAAAAAATACTAGGTATATGGACACCTAAAGAAGAAAGGATAGCTACTCAGAGGACTACCAAATATGCAATAATACGATGTGTTATTGATGTCTAAATCTCTCTATTTTGTTATTGTAATTTCTACTTCTTCCACTTCTTAATATTCTTGAGTCCCAATTCATCTAATTAATGCTGGCTTTGGAGTTGGATTGGCTCTCCTGCTTTAAACCCAAGCATATTGTTAAAATTCAATTCAGACTTTCTGTATTATATCAAAGAGCCATTGATATAAGACAGAAACAACAACAACAAAAAGATATATATATATATATATGGGGACTGTCATCTGTGTATATTTGATTCTTTTCTAAAACTCTAATCTCCTTCATGTGTATTATCTTCC